CGTGCCAGGTAAACGTGCTAGAAGACATTTCTCACAGTTAAGCGAGTTTGAGAGAGGCCTGATCATTGGGATGAAAATTGCAGGTGGATCGACGCTACGTGTTGCTGGCCAGGTGGATCGTTCGGAGTGTGCCTATTAGAAATTGTTAGGAGCAGTGGATACGAGAAGGTACCCACTCGCGGAAAACCGGGTGTGGTGCGACCAGGAAGACCACTAGGAGAGAGGATCGAAGGATCGTGCGGCAAGCACTTGTGGACGCCACAGTGACTCGTTCAACGATACGAGCAGACGTAGGCGTAGCAATTGTTCCACAAACAATTTTCCAGACACCCTGCAGAAGCAAATCTTAAATCCAAGCGCCCTTTCCGTGCACTCCCTTTAACACCGGAATATCGGCAACTACGTCTACAATGGTGCCAAGCCAGATCAATGTGGAATGTCACAGATTGGAAAAAGGTTGTGTTTAGTGATGAATCCCGGTTTGTTTAGGGGACAGATGATAAGCGTGTACGGGTGTGGAGGCGTCCTGGTAAGCGGTACAATTCCCCCACACTGTTCTACGTCACACTGCCCACACAGCTGGTGTAATGGTCATTTCATGTAAGTGGTTATTTTCTGACTCTTCCATGGCCGTTTCGCTCCTCCGATTTGTCCCCTGTAGAGCACGTGTGGGATCAGCTAAAACTTCAGATGCCATCGTGTCACTCGGTACATGAGTTAGAGTTGGCTGTTCAAGATTTGTGGGCCCATCTGCTTCATAACAACATAAGGCGTCTAATCAACTCAATGCTAGACCGTGTGGCGATATGTATTGAAGCTGGAGGTGGTCCAATGCGCTATTTAAGTTGCCCAGTATTTGTGTCGTTGCACAGCCTGTATTCGTTTAATTGTCTTGTTTTTGAGATCAAGTGAATCTCTCATCTGTGTCATTATGTGTATTAAATTTCATTTCAATCCGATGCTTTCCTCTTGGGTCGCTATTTTCAATGTTCCTGAATGTATTATTGAAAGAAAAATCATCATAGATCTCCAGAAATGGCGGAAATTTTTAAAGCAATTGTTGAAACTGTTATTAGAAGACATTCATTGATTCAAAAAGTGTACATAAACTACAAATCAACTAAAATTTTAACGTCCAAGCCAAGATTCGGGCACCCGTTTGTAGCGTCACCTCGAGAATCTTGCTTTGTAGTACGTTCTATAAAAAACGAAGACAATAAGCTTCAAAAATAGTTAAAAGTGTTGCTGAGATATTTCAAAAATGTGTAAAGTTAACCACAATTGGAAGAGAACTGAAAAGGATGACTATCATGGCTGAGTTGCACTCTAGAAGCCATTCATCTCTCCAGTGAACAGAGCTAAGAGAATGTCCTTTGCGAATAAACATCTAAATAAGACATAAAATTATTGGAAACATGTAATATATTTAATCAAAAGTAGTTTTTGTGTAATTTGGCATCAGAAAGAACAAAAATATGCCCAAAAATTCCTGGACAGATCTTAAGAAAGAGAATCCTTTTTCGATTATCAAACATGGAGGAGGAGGCATAATGTTTAGAGGTGCATTGTACTCCTTTCGGCTTGTAATCTGGAGTTTATTGAATCAACAATGTACACAATTGGTTACTTGAACTTATTGAAGTAAAATATCAGGGCATATGCCAAGAAACTTGCGATGAGTGAGGATTTTTACATTCAGTGGCACAAAGGTATCAAGCAAATGACTCACATTATGAAGCCATAGCTGTTCTGACATGTCCCAAACCAATTCCGTAAGCCAACCTAGTCCCCAGACCTAAGCACAATATAGCATTTATGGGATTTACTCGAGTGAATAATAAGGGGAACGTAATATTAATATCCCAGAAAATGCTCAAATCTGTCACAGTACAAGAATGGACGTTAGTACGTTTTTGCGACGTCATAGTTTCGAACGTAGTTGGATGCATTAAATTCTAATAATTTAATTAAATTTGCTAGAATCAGCTCTTAAAGTTGTAACAATTAAATACTAATTAATTAGAAATAACGTATTGTTGACAAATTTTTTCCTACGTGTTTTCCATGAAAGCTCTGTTATTGTATAAACAGCGTAATTTGTAAACTGATATAAAATCTCAACCACCATAAATATTCTTATAAAATTTCAAGTTTTTAAAGAGAGTTTGAAACGCATTCAATCTTTCAAACTTTCGTTTTAGCTATCATTGTGTAATGAATGACTATCATATCCCACTGTAACAAACATCTATCCTCTGTTTGGACAGCTATTCAGTGTGATAACATATACTTCAGTTATAAGAAAAGTACACACACGGAAGACTACAAATAATACAGCGTAATAGTGTATACGAGGGGGCTGAGTGGTTAAGGCGATAGACTGCTAATCCATTGGGCTCTGCCCGCGTGGGTTAGAATCCCCACCTCGTCGTATTATTCTAAATATGCTCTATTCTTTTTTTTACATATATTCTTTCTATTTTAAAGACAACAGATCAATTAAACTTGAACATAGGAACTGTGTAGACAATTTTGTTTAGTGGTTAAGGCTGGACTTAAGTGGTGGCCTGCTAATCCGTTTGGCTCTGCCTGCGATAGTTCAAATCCCATCCTCTCTTTATTATTCTAAATGCGCCTTTCTCTCTTTTTTCTTACATATAATCATTCTTTTTTAAAACGCTTTTAAAAAATTTTACGTGTATGTAACGGAATATTTGAACTCAAATTTATCCACTTTAAAAGGTCAGATTAATTCAAAAATTCGCACACTTGTCAAGGATCAATGACAATACAATAATTTCATTATTTGGATTCATTTTCCTGATCGGGATTTTAATACTTAAGAATTTTAAGGATTTACGAGATTTGGGGACTAATTCATTATATCGTTTCCAGCTTTGCAACTTACTGCACAAATCATTTTCACATTTGCCGACAAATTCCATATGCCCTTTCTAGATTTGGCAACTAATTCCAGATTTAGCCTCTAAAAGATGAAGGTGCAACCCTGAAACCACAAATAGGCTTCTGGTTAATACAAATAAAACAAAATAAGTGATCTTTATGTAAAAAAGGGTAGAGTAGGTGGGTGCGTAGTTTTTCTGCAAATGGAAATAGGAAAAAGACTCGAGCATGTGAATACAAATAATTTATGTTCGAAATGCTAAATATTTTTTTCTTCTTTTTATAAAGTAATACGTTTAAAAAGTTTGTTACAAATTAACATTATAGAATACGTTTAAAAGGTGATATATTTATGTTCTAAATGCTAAATATTTTTAAATTTGATAAAGCAATAAATTTTCAGAAGTTATGAAACGACTTAACATTATAGCAATACGTTTAAAACGTGAAAATACGATTGAAATTTAATATTTCTTCTTAAGACACTTTTATTAGTTAGAATTGCATCAATAGAGACGGAATCTTTGAAATATAACGATAGGGGACTCATCCTAGGCCCCGCAAACGGAGAGAATACCCTTCAGACACAATAATTAATGTCTTAATGAAGAGCAAGACTAATTCCCGCAGCCACATATAATCCTGGCTACAAATTTCAAACTCAAGGATAAATTCAACAGCGAATAAATGATACTTTTAAAACATAAAAAACAGGCTTTATTGTAGATCGAACTACTATTAATTGATTAGTTAAAATTGAACAGAAGTGCTTTGCATACGAAGTGGACAAGCGGTTAAGGCGATGGACAGCTAATCCATTGGGCCCTGCCCGCTTCGGTTCGAATCCCATCCTTGTCGTGATATTCTATGTTTTATAAATTTTTTTACACAAGATCATTATTATTTAAAGGCCAAGGATCAATAAATATTGAACAGAAAAGCAACGCAGGTGAGGTGTCTTAGTGGTTAAGGCTCTGCCTACGGGGGTTCGATTCCCAAAATATCGTCGTTATAATCATAACGCATTTTTATTACATAAAATCATTATTCTGTTTAAGTGACAGATTAAAAAATTTTCGTCAAAATGAACAAGGTAGATGTGGTAGCCGAGCAGTTAAGGCGAAGGACTGCTAATTCATTGGGTTCTGCCTGCGTGGGTTCGAATCCAGTCATCGTCGTGATATTCTTAGATCTTATTTATTACATATAATCATTATTCTTTAAAGGCCAAGGATAAATAAATATTGAACAGAAATACAAGGTAGATGTGGTGGCCGAGTGGTTAAGGCGATGGACTGCTAATCTTTTTGGCTCTGCTCGCGTGGATTCGAATCCAACCTTCGTCGTAAAATTCTGTTTTTCAGAAATTCTTTTACACACAATCATTTTTCTTTAAAGGCCAAGGATCAATAAATATTGAACAGAAAAACAAAGTAGATGGGGTGGCCGAGTGGTTAAGTCGATGGTCTCCTAATTCTTTGGGTTCTGTCTGCGTGGGTTCGATTCCCATCGTCTTCGTGATATTCTTAGAACATTTTTTTTACATATAATCATTATTCTTTAAAGGCAAAGGATCAATAAATATTGAACAGAAAAACAACGTAGATGAGGTGGTTAAGGCGACTGCTAATCAATTGGGCTCTGCCGGCGAGGGTTCGGATCTCTTATTCGTCGTGATACACAAAATTCATTTTTGTTTACATGTAATCATTATTTTTTTAACACAAGGGATAAAAAATATAGAATATAGTAATAACGTAGAAGAGGTGGCCGAGTGGTTAAGGCGATGGACTGCTAATCCATTGGGCTCTGTCCGCGTGGGTTCGAATCAAACGCTCGTCGTGAAATCCTGTTTTTTATAAATTTTTTTACACACAATAATTATTATTTAAAGGCCAATTATCAATAAATAATGAACAGCAAAACAGCGAAGATGAGGTGTCCACGTGGTTAAGGTGACTGCTAATCAATTTGGCTCTGCCGGCGAGGGTTTGAATCTCTTATTCGTCGTGATACACAAAATTCATTTTTGATTACATGTAATCATTATTTTTTTAAGACAAGGGATAAAAAATATAGATAATAGAAACTGCGTAGACGAGGTGACCGAGTGGTTAAGGCGATGGACTGCTAATCCATCGAGCTCTGCCCGCGTGGGTTCGAATCGCACCCTCGTCGTGATATTCTTATAGCCTTTTTTATTACATATAAACATTATTCTTTAAAGACCAAGGATCAATAAATATTGAACACAAACACAACAAAGATGAGGTGTCCCTGTGGTTAAGGCAATGGACTACTAATCTATTAGGCTCTGTAGCGGGGGTTCGAATCCCTTCCTCTTCATTATATACGAAATGAATTTTTGATTACAAGTAATGATTATTTTTTAAAGGCAATTGATAAAATAAATAGAATATAAAACCAGCGTAGACCAGGTGGCCGAGTGTTTAACACGATGTACTGCTAATCCATTGGAATCTTCCTGCGTGGGTTCGATTCCCATCATCGTCGTGATATTCTTCAAGCATTTTTTTTACATATAATCATTATTCTTTAAAGGCAAAGGATCAATAAATATTGAACAGGAAAACAACGTAGATGAGGTGGTTAAGGCGATGGGCTGTTAATCCATTGGGCTCTGCCCGCGAGGGTTCGAAACCCTTCATCGTCGTGATATACAAAATGCATTTTTGATTACGTATAATCATTATTCTTTTAAAGTGACAGATTAAAATTTTTTGTCAAAATGAACAACGTAGACGTGGTGGCCGAATGGTTAAGGCGATGGACTGCTGATTTATTGGGCTCTGCCCAATATGAATCAAATTCCTTCGTCGTGGTTACATTCAAAATGCAATTTTATAGTAATCACTATTCTTTTAAGGCAAAGGATCAAAATATATAGAATATTAGAACAGCGTAGACGAGTTGGACGAGTGGTTAACGCGATGGAAAGCTAATACATTGGGCTCTGCACGCGTGGGTTAGAATTCCACCTTCGTCGTAAATTTCTATTTCTTATAAATTTTTTTACACACAATCATTATTCTTTAAAGGCCAAGATTCAATAAATATTATAGACAATTTTAAGGCGATGAACTGCTAATCCATTGGGCTCTGCACCTGTGGGTTCGAATTCCACACTCGTCGTAAATTTCTATTTCTTATAAATTTTTTTACACACAATCATTATTCTTTAAAGGCCAAGGATCAATAAATATTGAACAGAAAAACATCTTAGATAAGGTGGCCTAGTGGTTAAGGCGATGGACTGCTAATCCATTGGGCTTCTCGCGCTTGGGTTCGAATTCCATCATCGCCGTGATATTCTTAGAGCATTTTTTATTACATATAATCATTATTTTTAAAGGCCAAGGATCAATTTACATTGAACAGAAAGACAACAAAGATGAGGTTGCCCAGTGGCTAAGGCGATGGACTGCTAATCCGTTGGGTTCTGTCCGCGGGGTTTCGAATTCTTTCCTCGTCGTGATATACAAAATTCATTTTTGATTACAAGAAATCATTATTTTTTAAAGGCAAGGGATAAAAAATATAGAATATAATTACACCGTAGACGAGGTGGCCGAGTGGTAAAGGCCATGGACTGCTAATCCATTGGGCTCTAACCGAGTGGATTCGAATCCCATTCTCGTTGTGATATTCATAAAGGAATTTTCATTACATATAATCATTATCCTTTTAAAGTAACAGATTAAAAAATTTTCGACAAAAGAACCGCGTAGACGAGGTGGCCGAGTGTGTAAGGCGGTGAACTGCTGATTTATTTGGCTCTGCTTGCTTCGGTTCGAATCCCATCGTCGTCGTGATATTCAACATGCATTTTTTATTACATGTAATCATTTTTCTCTTAAGGCAAGGTATAGGAAATATAGAACCTGAGAACAGCGTAGATGAGGTTGCCGAGTGTTTAACGCGATGGAATGCTAATCCATTGGGCTCTACCCTCGTGTGTTTGAATCCCATCCTAGTCGTGATATTCTTAAAGCATTTTTAAACACATATAATCATTATTCTTTTAAAGTGACAGACTATTAAATATTTGATAAAATAAGAGCGTAGACGAGGTGGCCATGTTATTAAGGAGATGGACTGCTAATGAATTGGGCTCTGCCCGCTTTAGTTCGAATCCCACTGTCGTCGTGATATTCAAAATGCAATTTTTAAGTAATCCTTATTCTTTTTAGACAAAGGATTAAAATATATAGAACATTATAAAAGCGTAAGCGTGGTGGCCCAGTGGTTAAGGCGATGATGGACTGCTAATTCATTGGCCTCTGCCCGCGTGGGTTCGAATCCTCTCTTCCTCGTGATATTCATAAAGCATTTTTTTATTACATATAATCATTATTCTTTTAAAGTGACAAATTAAAAAATTTTCGACAAAAGAACAGTGCAGATGAGGTGGCCGAGTGGTTAAGGCGATGACCTGCTGATTTAATTGGCTCTGCCTGCTTCGGTTCGAATTCCATCGTCATTGTGATATTCAAAATGCAATTTTTTAGTAATTCTTATACTTTAAAGGCAAAAGATCAAAATATATAGAATATAAGAACAGCGTCGACGAGGTGGCCGAGTTGTTTATGGCGATGGATTGCTAATCAATAGGGCTCTGTCCGCGTGGGTTCGAATCCCAACCTCTCTCGTCATAAAATTCTATTTTTTATAAATTTTTTTACACACAATCATTATTCTTTAAAGGCCAAGGATCAATAAATATTTAACAGAAAAACAGCGTAGATGAGGTGACCTAGTGGTTAAGGCGATGAACTGCTAATCCATTGGGTTCTTTCCGCTTTGTTTCGAATACCTTTTTTCTCCATTTCAGAATAAATCAGTTGTTACAATTGAGATTAATTCATCATTGAGTTTTCGAAAAGCTTTTGACCGTCATTGCGGACCATACATTTTGTTTTATTTATAAATTAGAACAGCAAATCAATGAAATCATTTGCAATTACAATATATACATTATTGTATGAATTGGGTTCAATTTGTTTATCATCATTTTTCTCATCGCTTATATATATATATATACATATATATATATATATATATATATATATATATATATATATATATATATATATATATATATATACAGTATAATGGTATCTGTACCATCGTCATCCATTTACCATTTTATGAGCCCTTATATATAGTTTTGGAATATATTTAGGTATGGCTTTAGATAGTTGTGGAGATGGGCATAGAGGTTCTGAGTTAGCATATAAAAAAACTATAAATTTTTTAAAAAATACAAAAAAATGTATGAATTGTTTTGGTAATCATAATTTTTCTGCTTACCCTTCTGTATCTAAACATTGTTGTGTTAGAATTTTTAAAACTCGAATTTTTTGGAACTCTAAATATAAGAATTTATCTCGTACAGCAAAACGAAATATTCATGTTTTCGATTGTATAGATAAAAATCAAAGAGATAAGGATTTTAGTAACATATTGGAAACCTGGTTTTTCAGAGATATTCATATTTTAAAACTAAAATTTAGATCTTGCACTGATAAAAGATGCAAGGCGTGTGGCATGATGAGTGGTGAACAGTTGTATATGGATGCAGGTTATATATTTTGTAAGATTTTTAACTGTGTTTACAAAATGACATGCAACATATGTAAATTCGCTTATATAGGTCAGACTTCAAACACTATCAATATTAGATTAAATCAACATAGGTCTCATACAAGGAAATTTGATTACAACAAAAACCAGGCTAAGATTGAGATAGAACACTTTCATAAACATGGATTCAATAACATCACTGTACATATACTTAGAATAGTGCCAAATATTAAACAAAGATTATGGTTCGAAAACTTTTTTATAGGTTCATTTAGATCATATTATCCTTATGGTTTGAATGTTATATGGAAAGGTGAAAGTGTCTTATTAGCTTTTAAACAAAAATCCGATGATTCATTATATATTCCGAATTTTGATAAATCTATTGATAATAGTAATAATATTCGTTCAGCGAGAATTTCAAGAGCTAAACGTAGAAAAAGAGTTACTAGAGACATGTCAACCCTCAAGAATTCTATGTTAGAATTAGCTGTTAAATTTGATGATAACTACAACACAGGCTTTATTAAATCATTTATGTTTGGCATATGAATAAAGCTGAAATTAAAATTATGACAGATATTTTAAGCAGATATAAATTTCAGGATTCTCATGGTATGCATATGATTCGAGACCTTAATAACTATTTAGTACAAAAAATGAATATTAAATTAGATGCAAGTGAAAATTACTCTACAGAATATTGTACATTATTATTTATGAATAAATCCTTTAACAAAATTAATTTTTCAAGTATATTTCAAAAATATCAATCCTTTTTTCCTATTAATAATATTATTATTAAAAAGGCTTTCAAATACAACAATAAACTTGGTAGATTTATATTTAATTATAATCAAATCTCGGAGAGCTCCTAAGTTCAGAATCATGCAAATGCAATCTATATCGAGACTATATTGATGATTATCCTCAGCACGTTGTCACAGGAGACCTTAGCATCGTGAAAGATGATTTGTTAAGAAATTTTATGGAAAAAGGTACCGGTTTTAGACTGATGATCACAAAAAATAAATCTAACGTTATGAAACAAATCATAAAAGATTTAGATAAATTCTACCTTAAAATTGCAATGAAATACGGAATGCCGATTGAAGCATTCAATCAATTTAGATCTTATGTAGCAACAGAAATTCGGGAATTAGATTTCACTGTTGAAAATGAAATTATGTATAAAGATCTTAAATCATCAATAGAAAATATCCAAAATGACTTCATGATTACATATGTTGATAAGGTCTCTCTGCTAATTATGCCATAATTTGTAAATACTTTTACAGTAAATTATTATGTAACCACATTTTAAATAATAATTCCTTTCAAAAAATCAATTCACATTAATAGAGAAGATGATAATCGTCTTTTAGCTTTGAACAAAAGACTGAATATTCATCTAAATAATATTAAATATCCAAGTATTTTTTTAACACCAAAATTTCATAAAAGCCCTATAAAATTCCGTAGTATCACTAATGGATACAATACATATATCACGAGGTCTGGGAAGATTTTACAATCTCTTCTTCAAAATCTAATTGATAATTTACAAAACACGGCAATAATTAAAAATAGCTTAGAGATTGCTAGAGTTACTAAGGATATGTTAATTTTTTCCATGCATGGCTTTGATTTCGAGGACCTTTTTAATTCTATAGATATTGACGATATGATTAAGGTTCTACAGTTAATTTATGATAAATATATGAATTATATACTTCAATGAAAAAGATAAATTTGATATTCTTGTTAACCTAGTATTAAAAGAAAATTTCATTGCATTTGATCAGAATCTTTATAAACAGATCAAAGGATTACCTCAGGGTGGTCTAGCTAGTAATTGTGTTTAGCGAACCTATATTTACATTTTTTGAAATAGATCATGTTGTAAATGATTCTTACTTAATTTATCGTTATATAGATGATATAATAATTTTTGGTAAAAATAGTGAATACAAACCAAATATTACGTTCTACCCTGATTATCTCAAGCTCCTTAAAAACTAAGCCCTTCAACTCTAATATGGTGGAATTCTTGGATTTAGACTTGCATCTTATTAACAATAATCAACTCTAATAGATTTAGACTTGCATCTTATTAACATGTAGTCAGTTTTTGACAAAAGAGATTCGTTTAAGTTCCATATAATTAAAATTCCCGTATGGAATAGTAATTTGCATATATTAATTTACAGAAATATCATTTTGAATTTTTATTTAGAAATGATAACTTAACTACCCACAAAATAGATAAATACAATAATATAAAACAATTTTTTCAATGTTGTTTAGATCATGAATACCCTTTTAATTTCTTAAGAACTTATATTCATCACAAATACATTAACCGTCTTGCTACTTCGAATTCCAAAACCACCACACAACAATAGGATTTCAAAGTCAGCATGTTAGTGGTTTTGCTGTCAATATTATATCATAACACTCATATCACAGTTAACATATTTTTCCACACACATCTTGAACATCTTACACATTGTTGACAACCAACCAAATTAGAGCCTAGCAAATTTACATTTTTGACAATCAACCAATTCAAATTCTACCGTATTTGATTGTCGTCTTTTTTTTTTTTTTATATATATATACCTGTCTTTGCTGGCTGGTTTAAAAGTCAGCTCAAAAGATGTGTTTATGTATTTTCGAATTTTTTAACTTGGTAAATAATCGATTTTCATTAATGTCAAGACGCTTGATTCTCCTCGTAAAAGCTCTGTGAGTAAAGAAATTTTGTTAAATTATTTCTTGAAAGATACTTTTCTTATGTAATTGTTTTAGCATTTTTCTACTTTTCTTACGTAATTATTTTGTGATTTTTCTGCATTAAGAGTTTGGGAGAGTTTGTTACATAATAGTAATGAGTGGTTTTTTCATACTCTCTGTGTTATCCAAACTCTGAAGTTTTGTTTATTTTATTTTATTTAGTTTTCCTACCGAGTTGCAAAGGGGGAAGGTTGGCGCCTTCAAACTAGTTTAACCCCACTTATTCGGTCCTAAGTCCGAAATTGCTTTCTGACTCGCTAGGTTCTTCTTTTTTGTAGTTTCTTTTTTTTTATTTCTCTATAATTTTGTTCTTCATGTTCAGGTTTTATATTTTTATTATGCTATTTCTTGTTATGTTCTTTATCTATTATTTCTTATTTTTGATTATGATACATAATACATATATTGTATATTTATATATATATATATATATATATATGTATATATATATATCTCGTTTTGCTATCTTTCACTTTTGGACAGCCTTATTTTTTGTTGAGTCATTGCCATTGCACCGCTACATTAATAGTTTTCCTCGAGCATTGATTATTGCAAAATTATTAATGACATCATTTGAAACATTTTTCATAGTAATATCATTTTGAGTGTGTAGCAACATCAAAATATTAAGCATTTTGCATTTTAAATCTCATTTTAGTCTTTACTCTCTTAAGAACAGAAATGCTTCTCTCATGACTCGCTAGGGGGGATACGTTCACAGCAACTTGATTTTTTTCTCTTTTTTTTTGCTTTCCAATTTATTTTATTTTTATTTTTTCCTTCGTCCCAGGTACGTGTCTAGTGTGCCTAAACGGAAAAATGGACAATCGGCCCTGTATACAGGATCCAAACCACATTTTTTTTCGTTATATGCAATGAAATCAAATTCCACAAGAACTATGATAATATTAATAACCGCCTAGAACACAAAGTAAGCAAAAATGGAAAAAATTAAGTTAGTATAAAATGAAAAACATTAAACAAGACAAAAAATGCCTAGGTTAACATTTCAAAACACAATAAACCTAGATATCATGGAAAGTATCGCAAAATATTAAGAACTATATGTATATATATATATGCATGTATATTTATGTATCAGTGTGGTTTTGCAAGAAAAATTAAACTTTTTAAACTGTTCTAAAAGTTTTTTTAATTCTCGTATCCTTAAATACATGAATAACTTTTACACACAAGATAATTAATAAAAAACCAAATAATTCTTTCTTCGTAAAAAAAAATTTTTTTTTATAAAACTAAAACCTTTACTAGA